ATATATATGACAAGTGGGGTGAGCATATCGACCCCAGGACCCCAGGAGGAATCAGGCAAGAGGCTCTCCGGCGAGCAGCAGCGGGACCCACAACACCCCCGACAATGTTTAAGAGCTGACCGTAAGAGTCGAGGAGATTGTAGGGGATAGTGAGGAGGTCACTCAGCGACCAAAGGCGGGGACTATAAGGGAGGAGCAATTAGTCGTCGAATCGGATGATGAGGCACAGAAAGGCGAAGGAGAGCCGGCCACAGTCCTCCTGGGGAGGATGGAAGATCTGCTGGAAAAGGTGGGAAGGTACCAGCGGAAGTTGCAGGCCCTGTGTGAAGAAGCGCGAGAGTGGGAGGCCAATCTGCTTGAGGTCTTCCTCTACGACTCCGGAATTGAGCCTTCGCCAGGCCAACAGGGGTACCCAAAAGTGGTGACTGTAGGGACGGGCCCTAGGTCAGGTATGGCCTATAGACCCCCCATGTCGCATGGGAGGGTGCCGCAGGCGGCTCGGACTAGGAGCCAAAACAAGGCCGCGCCTAGCCAAGAGCCCAGTCAGGCACCCCCTCAAAAGGAGCCGGAGCCAGGATGTGGGAAAGAGGTGGTGGAGGTCCCGGAGCAAGAGGAAGAGGATGACGACGAAGAGGATGAGAGGCTCTGACAAGAAGAGGATCAGCGGGCGGAGCTGAGGGCCAAAAAGAGAGGAGCCCGGGAGGAGGTCGAGCCAAGCCTACTCGACAGCGTACCTAAGAGGAAGAAGTACGCGGTCCGAATAGAGGAAGGTTTTGACGTGGAGCGAATGGTGAATAAGCTCCTGGAAGGCCACAATGACTTGATGAACCTGAAGGATATCCTGGCGTCGGCGCCAAGGCTCCGTGGGGAGTTGAAAGGGCGACTCTCTCGAAGATTGGTGCCAAATGTCCATCTGAGTACGGTCCTTCCCAGGGAGGTGGAGTAGACTGAGGCAGGGACAAGGATGGATTGGAAATGTGTGGCGTGCGGGCAAGTGGATCTGGTGATAAAGAACCAGAAGTGCACTGGGATGGTGGACACGGGCGCAAAAATGAATATCATCAGGGAGAAGGAGGCGGTGATGATAGATATGGAGATCGACCGCTCGGACCATGGCATGCTGCATGGCGCCAACTGCAAGGCCGCCTTTTGCGGCACGGCATCTAATGTGATTATAGAGATTGGGAAGGTGCGAGCCAGGACGTGTTTCTTCGTCATGCCCGATGTCGATCGTCCCATCCTTGTGGGAAGGTCGTTCTTGTGTCGAACGAAGATGTTGATTTTTAATAAGCACGACGGGACAATGATCCTGCTCCTATGCGACCCAGCATGCGGGAACTATGAAGTTGTCACCTGCCGAAACACGGGGCCGGGGAGCGGGAGGAATAGGTCTAATCTCGGCTCGTTCACCTTCGAGGAATCAGAGAACGAGCGAAGACGGCTTTGGAAAGTGCCCGAGGAGGAGGATAAGGCTGAGGTGTTGACACTGAGCCTCACAGATGTGAATAAGGCCATGGAGGTGGTGTCGGCTCATGACATGGCGGATCCGGAGGCCATTAAGGCATTGAGGGAACAGGTTTTGGAGAACCTTCAAGTGGGAGAGGTGGAGTTGGTGTATCGGCTTCCAAGAGGGGGAGGAGGCCCTGCAATGGCCCAGGCCCGAACGACAAGTCGGCCTTTTTTAGGGGAGGGCTTAAGCAGGGCTCCCAAAGGCGGTACAAAACCGTAGATAAGAAGTGCCGCCTAGTTCCCGTGCTCGTCACGGAGGATGAGGAAGTCTACTACGAGCGGGAACGAGGATTGATACGGCGTATGCGGGAGCACGCGTTGGCCGGGCCGTGCCGTATCAACGACGAGAATGAGGGGAAGTTGATAATCGGGGAACCCGACTTCCTGTCGCCCCAGGAGAGAGCGTTGATGGTGGGACTGATGAAGAAAAGGCACCGTGCATATGCGTTCAATGACGACGAGCGTGGGAGGCTAGATGTGGACAAGATTCCGATGATACGAATCCACACTATTCCACATGAGCCATGGAATCTAAGGGGTGAACGATACCCAAATCCGGATGAGGAGAAGAAGGTGGTGGACCACGTGGACGGCAAGATGCGGACGCACGTGGCCGACTATTCCAGCAGACCGTACGCGTCGCCTTGGTTTTGTTTTATTAAACCAAATGGGACGCTAACGTGGGTGCAGGACTTGCAGCGGCTAAATGCGGTGACAGTGCAGGACGCGGGAGGGTTGCCGAACGCAGACGCGCTGTCAGAGTCGTGCGCAGGGAGGCCTATAATCTCGCTTATAGACCTCTACTTTGGGTACGACCAATTCCCTGTATACCCGCCAGACAGACCCGTAACGACGATGCACACACCCAGAGGGTTGATTCACATGAACGTGGCGCCTCAAGGTTGGACGAATGCAGTAGTGGTGGTGCAGAGGCATATGATCAGAGCCATGCAGACGGTCAGCCCACATATCACCCAACCCTATATCGATGACCTGGCGGTCAAAGGTCCGAAGGAGAAAGAAGACGAAGTGATGCCCGGTGTGCGGCGTTTTGTCTGGAAACATGTCCAAGACATCGATCAGGTTCTGGGGTTATTGGAGGAACATAACCTGACGACGAGCGGCCCCAAGTTGAAACACTATATGAGGGAGGCCACGATTCTAGGTTTTGTCTGTAATGAGAGTGGGCGAAGGTCTGACGTAAAGAAAACAGACAAGATTCTTGAGTGGTCGGTGCCCTTCCGCTCGATAACGAATGTGAGGAGCTTTCTTGGGATGTGCGGATTTTGGAGGAGCTTCGTGAAGGACTTTGCCACGAAGACGGAGCATTTAAGGAAGTTGGTGCGCCAGGATCAGGAATGGGTCTGGGGCGAAGACCAGGAAGAGGCAGTCGGTAGGATGAAGGGAGAGTTTAAGGAAGGGGGCTTGGTATTGGGAGCGCCAAACTATGAGGCCACGGAGGAAAGGCCATTTGTCATTGAGACGGAAACTGGGCCAACTGCCTTAGGAGGAGTCCTGATTCAGGCAGATACTGAGGGGAAGGAGAGACCGCTAAGATTCGAAAGTCGTACCCTCAATACAACTGAGAGGAACTACTCTCAGTTCAAGAAGGAAACGCTGGCAGTACTTCATTGCCTAAGGACCTTCCGGAACTATGTTTTTGGTAGGAGGCTCATCTTGAGGGTGGACCCTACTGCACTGGCATGTTCCCTGAAGAATTATACTCCATCTGACCCAACCGTCGCAAGGTGGTTGACCTACATTTGGATGTTTAATTTCGAGTTGGAAAGGGTCCCAGGGAACAAGAACAGGGCAGATGGGTTAAGCCGCATCAACTGGGACGGATTAGACGAGGGATCGATAGAAGACGCCCCACCAGTTGATGGGTTTTTGGACCAAGAGGAGGACGTCCGCCTGCATATTAATGAGTGGTCCCTACGAGTACCCAGCTGCGTCAGCCACCCTATATGGCTAGCGCCAAAGGGGTACGAGCAGAAGGAAAAGTTGGTCCTCAAGCCTTTTCAGGAGGAGGATCCGTGGGGGAGTAAGGATGTTGGTTGGATGATGAAATTGGCATTGGCAAGAACGTACAGCCTGGTGGAGGAAATGAGGATGATAGAAGAAAGCCCCAGTCAGGTAGAGGAGCATGAGCAGCTAATGGGAGGGATGTACCTGCTCGCCAATACGCTCCTGCAAGGAGACTTTGACCGGATGGGCTCGTTCGGTCGTGAGGAAAATGAGATTCTAGTTCCTGAAAGCCAGGACGACGAGTTCGAGGAAGGAGAAATCAAGGAGGCATTTCGGGTGGAGGAGTACGATGGGATCTACCGGGAATTGGGGTTGCTCCTATCATGTGAGATGAGGGATAGAGATGCAAGTGCCAAAGCCCAAAAGATGAGGCACCTCTACTTAGTAAGAGATGGTCATCTGTTCATAAAGCGGCAGGTCGGGAACCCCAAGAGGATCGTATGTGGGAGAAACCGGCAAATTGATATCATAGCAGCCCTACACGATGATATAGCAGGGGGGCACAGAGGAGTAGGTGCAACGTGCGTGGAGATAAGCGAGCTCTACCATTGGGATGGGATGCTGACGATGATTATCAAATACTGTCGGTCCTGTATACCTTGCCAAGAGAGGTCAGCGCAAAGGCCTGGAGAGCCCCTACACCCAAGGTTGGAAAGGGAAGTGGGTGCGGTCGTACACCTGGACCTGTTATTCATGCCAGCAGGGGAGAATGGGTGTAACTACATCTTCGATGCACGGGATAACCTTACTGGGTTTGTGGACGAACGAGCTATCCGGACAAAGACTGGCCCGGTTTTGGCGATATCCTTTTGTCAAGGAGTTCGTGATGGATCGAGGATCAGAGTTTACCTGCAATGAGGTGAGGACGTTGCTTGTAGGGTATGGCGTAGTGGCCAACTATACTACGGCCGCACACCCTCAAGCGAACGCTCCTGTGGAGAGGGGGCACAGTATCATCACGAATCTCCTGGCTAAGTGGACAAAGGGCAAGCCTGGTCGGTGGCCAAAGTTCCTACGGGCAACTTTCTTCGTGGAGAATGTTACTGTAAAGAGGACTACCAAGTACGCGCCAGCCACACTATGGTATGGGAGGCACGCCACCTTTCCCATAGAAAGCCTTATGAAGACGTGGAGGCGCCAAGACTTGGAAGTAAACCTGTCCTTCGAAGAACTGCTCGATATTCGGGCGCGGCAAGTGGGGGCGGCCGAGGAAAGATTGCGAGAGGCCGCCGGTCAGGTAGAGACGAGCCGCATGGAAGACAAGATGAGATGGGACCAGATGGCGCGAGTAAGGAAGGAGCCGTTGGCAGTGGGGGACGTCGTGTTATTATACGACTCCTCTCTGGAGAAGCAATGGTCGAGGAAGCTCGACAAGAGATGGATGGGCCCCTATAGAATTTTGCGATGTGGCGAATTTGGGGCCTATCAGATCGAGGAGCTGGACGGGACAGGCTGGCAGGATTAGGTATCAGGGACCAGGCTGAAGAATTCGTGGCCAGGGAATAGGTAAAGAATTTTACATCCTTCAGAGTGGACTAGTCCTTGAGGTGTTGCATGCTATGGTTAAGGCAGGTGAGGGAGTAGGAAAAGACATGTGTGTTATCATAAAAACTCGGTGAACAGAGGGCTAACCTTGTTGTGTGTCTGCTTGCTTTTCTCTCGCCTGTTGTGCAGGTCTGACTTTTCGAAGACAGCCATGCAGAGAGGCGGGAGGGACGTGCGGCCACGACAGAGGCCTCAGGGAGCATCAGGAGGGGATGACTCGCGCAGACCATCTGAGAGGGAGTCTACGCCTGTCTTCAACGATGATAACATAGAGCTCTTTCTGGACTCCTACCAGGCACATGCGGCACGAGAGGGTTGGTCCACCTTGGAGAGGATACGACACCTGAGGGGAGTTGGGCGTTTTGAGGAGCCTATTGTGCACATCCGGGAGGAGGCTTTGACCTGGCAGGATGTGGAGGCGAGGATGCAGATGTTGAGGGCTTCGTCATTAGGACCGGATGGGCTGCCTATTCGATTGGAGGAAGGCAATGTGGAAGAGTTCATCCCGGCCTATGAGCAGTATATGCGCAACCAGGGGACTGGTTAGGAGGAGTGGATGCAGACGCTGCCCCTCTGGACGCGGAGGGCGGAGAGGCCGTTGGCGAGGCAGATCCGAGACAGGGCACGCGACTGGGAGGACTGCCAGGCCTAGTTGAGGCAGGCATTTCGACGACTGGAGCCTGAGAGACCAGAGCCCAGGGTGGAGAGACGACAGAGGAGTAAGAGGCCACGGGGCCCAGAGGCGAGAGGGGCCACTACGACCAGAGGGGGCCGAAAGGCCTTGGTGCAACGAGATGGGCCAGTAGAGGCTGCCCAGGCGGTGGAGCCACTTCAGGCCGCGGGACCAGCTCAGACGGCGGAGTTACCCCCTACCTATGGACTCGAGCGGGTGGAGTTTCGCCGAGTCACGGACAGTGATCTACGGGGCCCGTTGCTGACATTACCAGAGGGAGGAGAGGCGGTGCCATTGAGGACCCCGCCAGACAACTTCAGAGACTCATCTCGATGCGTCCCAGTGGGGGGCGTCACAGCTGGGAGCGAACCAGAGCGGACCGACACGGTATGAGCCAGTAGAGGATGAGCCAGAGGAGGAGCCACCTGAGCCGGGGCCCGAGGCAAGGTCTCGTGGGACCGGGGGGCCGCAGACCGAGGGGGTTATCACTGTTGGGGATGATACCCCTCCTCCTACCCCGATTCCAGAGCAGGTGCGGCAGTATTGGCCTGAAGGAATTCCTGAGCCGGACAGTGAGGAGATGTTGGGGCCTCCATCGGAAGCTACTATGACACCTCCGACACGGGCGGGGCCAGAGGAGGGCGAGAGGGCGAGGACACCTACTACTGTGGCGCCGCAACTAACTGAGCCTACAGGTGCACGGATGGATATGGAGGTGCCGACCCCTGGGGAACCTCCGCCAGGGCTGCCACCCACAGAGGAGGGGACAAGTGAGAGAGACCCACAGCGAGAGGCCCATGAGGCGCGGACAAGGAGACCATCAGGGGAGACGAAAGAAGAGAAGCGCGCGAGGGTGCAGGTACGCCTCGAGGAGTTATACCAGGAGAAGATTAGGATGGAGGCCGCAGGAGAAGCGCCAATTGACCCTCCGACGAGCGAGCAGAGGATTAGCGAGGCTTAGGCCAGCTACGAGGGTGAGAGGGATGCTGCTCGCCTGAGGTCACAAGAGGCAGGATAGGAGAATGCGAGGGTGGGCGAGGCACGAGAGACAGAGAACTTGGGATTTTCAGCCGCCAGGATGGAGATTGAGCGTACAGACAGGAGGATAGGTGAGGTGGCGATCTCGTCCTTCCAGCGGTACTCCATGCTCAGCGATGAGTTGGCGGCCTCGAGGTTAGAAGTGGGACAGTTGTCCACCCAGTTGGCGGAAGAGAGGGCAGAGAACCAAGCGTGGAGGTCCCGCATGGAAGCCAAGGAGGCGGAGTGGGAGAAGAGGCTCCAGGACATGGCGACAATGGTAGAGAGGCCTCGGTCACTAAGGTGGTCGACTGGACGGAGCAGAGCCGGTATGGTATCCAGGGGAAGGAGGTACAGGGGCTCTTTGGCCAGGAAGGAACGACAGAGACGCCACAACAAGAGGAAATGGGAAAGGTATTCCTGGACCCAACAGAGGCGGCGGCAAGGCGGTAGGCCGAGGAGAGGAGGTTCAGCTTTAGGACTCCCACGGAGTTGGCCTCGCAACAGGCCACCGCTATGACGATTGAGGTTCCTGGGGACAAGCCGGCGCAGAGACCCCAACCTCCAGAGGTGGAGGGGGGCCTCACAGAGGAGTCCCCTACGATCCTCTTGGAGGTGCAGGAGGGTGCCCTTACGGGAGCAGCGGCATCCACTGAGCCGGGGGTAATGGGGGGAAAGGCGTCTCGACTGAACGAGTTGGTGGCAGCTCTGGAGCTGGACATGTCGTCAGGAGGGACTCATAGGCAGGAGACACCGGAGCGCGTGCCAGAGATAGGGGAGCTGAGGACGCAGTTGGGATCTTGGGCTACTGGAGCTGACTCAGGAGAGCACATCTCAGAGCAGCAGCAGGAAGTTATGAGCGAGCCGGTGACTTCCGTAACCCCCCAGCCTTCTGACCTGCATAGGGGCGAGGGGGCGACTGCGATGGGAGGAGTCCGCGAGGGTAGGCCACTGAGATTGGACAATCCAGCGTACCAACCTGAGGAAGATGAGATGCTAGCAGGGCCGAGTACCCAGATGATGGAGGCAGGACCGACAGAGTCATGGAGTATGCCCCAGAGCCACGAGATGAGCAGGGAAACTAGTGAGACGCCGCCGTTGCCTGGGTCCCAGAAGAAGAAGAGGAGGTGTCGAGGGAGATCAGACGATCAGTGCTTTTTCTGCAAGGACGACATACATAGGGCTCTTGAATGCCCGAAGTTCCTTAAGGACAAGGCGGCTGGGAGAGTGACAAAGAGTGGTGGAAGGATATACGACAGACAGGGGCGAATGGTAGAGCGGGCTCCAGATGGGGGTAGGGCACAATTGTATAGGCAGAACCAGGAGGCCATGAGTGAGTAGGGGCTGGCTTGTCTATATGACAGTAGGACTAGAGTTCCTCCGTACCCAGAGGTCGGGTTCGAGATGTACGTACTCGGAGTCGGTTGAGTGGGTCCTAAGGGGTGCGCATGTCTGAGTTCGCCGTGGGAGTTCTGTCTAGCTGTACATACATAGGTGGCAGGGCTCAGTCGGTCATTGGGGTTTGTGTGTGATACAGTTCGGCGGGTGAGATTCAGTTGTGAGATACCTGTGACTGTGTGATTTGTACATTAGGTTTGGAGGTTCGGAAACCTTCTTTATATTTCTGATTAGCTCCTGAGAGCCATAACACTTGGGGTGTGAGTCCACCCTGTAGAGTGTACAGGGAACTGAGTGTTGAGTTATTCACTGGGGCGGGCATCCTATTCCTAGGTATATCCTAGGAATTGTGTGCGTGAGAGCTTGAGTTGAGTGTTGTATTAAGACTTGAGGGAGATTTTGCTCCCGAGTATATTTTGATTTCACCCTCTGTGGGATTTACTTTTGTGACGATCACGATCACTCTCACATGTTTGGCTTTATCCCAATGAATGAGGGCTTGGTATGAGAGATGTGTGGGATACATCTCATGTATGCGTATTATGTGATGGTGATTGCCGTCTACTCTTCGGTATACTCGTGCAACCTGCCCATGGGCGGGTGAAATGACCGAGTATAAGGGGAGGCAGCGCGGCTGTTTGGTGACAGATGTGTGAGGACCCTAAGGGGTCTTGCGTACCTATAAGACTCGAATGCTTACCATGCTGAATGTTTATGGCTACGTTGTGAAAGAGACCAATAAGTTGGTCCCCCAGTTTGAGTTATTTTCCGTATGAGTTGACAAAGAGGACCCCTAAGTAGGCCCTCAGTGAGTTGCTCTATGGTGGAGACCCCCTTCAGATTATGGAGGGTGGGGAATGCTGGTTATTGACGGTTATATAACCAAGGTCGCGTGATAGTCCATCCTATGAGAAGAGAGGGATGACTGGGAGACATATTAAGAGAGACCCCCTTCAAGTGAAAAGTGGGTAATGGATTTAATGACATGGTAAGCAATGTTTGAGTGATAAAGTCTGACGAGAAGAACCAGGGTTACGAGTTGGAACCATTGGGGGAGCCGAGAGAGTCGCAAGTCAGTGCATAAAAATGTCGTGGGATGAGTGGTCTGTTGTCTCTGATCAAGTCAGCAGGCCACGACCTTGTGTGAGCCTAGCGGTGAACCTGTTTGTGATTGTGAAAAGGGGCCTTGTGTGAACTTGATAAAGTCTGACGTTTCATTGGGGGCTGGTAAACGCCTTTAAACTAGGACAGACCCTTGCGTAGTCCCGCAGTGGGCCTGTGGTCTGTTTTGCGACGCACCATCTAGACACATGTGTTAATCCTAAGGCATACTGAGGAATACCAAGCTAGACGGTAAAGGCTAGCACCCCTAGGGCGCAACCCCTATTGGATGGTTGCAAGACAGCACAACCTGGCTGCGGGCCCACGTCTACCAGCAGAGTAAGAGTTTAAGAGGTCATGCATGCCCCAAGGAAATTACTCTGATGAAATGGTGGGGGATACGAGTCGAGTCGTTTGAGCGCCCTTATTGAATGCCTATCAGGAGAAAACCTATCGTTGCATAACCAACGAAGGGACTGCCGCTAAGATAACAATGTGGTAGGCCGTAGATCTGGCTCGATCAACCACACTATGGTGGGCCAGGATGGAAACCTAGCGTTTCTGTACTAGACTGCAGAAAGAGCTGAGAGGAGATTTATGTATGTATATATATACGTTTGCTTGTGAGGATTTTTACGAGGGAGGCGAGAGTGCCTTCTGAGGTCTCATCTAAGGCCCGCGTCCCTGGGTGTGACTCTGCTTACGAGATAGAGTCTAGCCAGGACACTCAACGAGAAGCCGACGTTTGTCTAGGACAAAAGGGGAGAGGATGGTTTGAGGTGGCCTTTGGAGAGTGCCTTCTGAGGTCTCATCTAAGGTCCGCGTCCCTGGGTGTAACTCTGCTTACGAGATAGAGTCTAGCCGGGACACTCAACGAGAAGCCGACGTTTGTCTTGGACAAAAGGGGAGAGGATGGTTTGAGGTGGCCTTTGGAACTTATGCTGTAGTATCGATGCGTAATACATCTGCGTCCTAGTGTCAGGGCAATGGAGACCCAGGTTAGAACCCTGGCGGCATATAGTTGTGTGGGCATAGATTGTTGGAGGCCTCGAACCTGAGTCTGTCGGCCAATCGCATTTGGAGTGGGATGAATTTATAGCTTTCTGATTCGACGAAGCAACGGGGACGTCGCTTAATACGGTCCGGTAAGCCGTCGGTGTGAATACCCTTACAAGGGTATCCGCCCTGTTTTTTTTGCAGATGACAGAAAGTAAGTTAGTTCAAAGTTTGAATATACCGCGTGAGTCGCGGCAGTGTTCGTGGTCTATGCGGCTGGTGGTTGACTAGAATAAGGAGTGTGTGGGCGCGCGAAATTTTAAGGCGCGCGTGATCTTTTTATTTCATTGATGATTGAAGAGTCGGCAGACCGCCGGCCAAAATTTTTTTTCCTTCTGACTAAGTAGGGATTAGAATGGCTATGTCTCGTTGACCGATGTGCTTGTCTATGACCTGTGCGTACGTACGGAGGGCGACGTCGACTAAAATGTGACTCGTGAAGGCGTTGCGATAGGTTGGCGCGTCGCACAGTGCCCGTGCGGTTAGGCATCCGTCAGAGCCGAACCCAGACTTGGGCCTAGTGTTAGTGGTTACGGTGTCGGACGCTTACTAGGGAGATTCAGGGAGCGAGATCGGGCAGCGACAACGTGCGGATATAAGAGTAGCGCGGAAGGATCGAGGGGTTGAGGGTCTGGCGGGGCTATCCCCCTTGGTTTTGCCGATGGCGACGTCGAGACGGTGTTAGTGTCCCTTCTTCCTTCCCCCGTCTATCGTCCCTTGATGGTTAGGATTTCCCTAGATACCTTATTGTTTTTGTTGTCGCCCGCCAACCATGAATTGGCCGTGGCGCGACGAGTACCGGGCACCTCAAAGCTCCCATTTGAATGTTTGCTACTACCAGCGAGGTCGCACTAGGCCTAGAGTACCAAGGCCATGCATAGGCCTTGCAGCGGCCCGTGTGCAGGTTCCCCGGAAGAAAATCCGGGGGGCTCTGTTGCTCCCTGAATTATAGTCTTGAGAGGCAATCTCGGCAGCGGGCCGCGCTCTCAGCTCCGCAGCCAGCCGTCTGAACGAGAGCTTGTCCTTTGGGGGCACGAGACAGCAACGGGCGCTGTGTGGAGCGAGGGAGCGGTAGCAACGGGCGCCGGCATTTGGGTGGTGAGCAGCGCTGAGCGGGGGAGGTTGGTGGAGGAAGTGAATCGGGATGGAAAGGCACGAAAGGTGCAGGCGGCGAGAAGGAGTGTGAGGCAGCGAGCAGGCAACGGGGGAGCGAAGCAGTGGGCATAAGGCGGAGACAGAGTTGGACCGGGTGAATCTGGCCCGGGTCCCCGCCTAGGTGCGTTCGGAGTTGAAGAGGGCGGAGAGGTAATGGGCAGCAGAAAGGGAAAGTCGAGGCGGGGGTAAGAGGAGGACTGTGCACCGAGAGATAGGATTGTGCCCAGGCGCGGACGGGGAGAGCGGCAGCAGCTGGCAGCGAGCCGATAGCGCAGCGGGCAGTGGCGGGCGACGAGCGCTAGCAAAAGGGGGGCGGGTCGGTCGGTTACAGAGACGAAGTGAGCGTCAACAGAGTGAGCTAAGCGCTAGAGTGGAGGGGGAGGCCAACAAGAAGTGGGCTGAACCTGAGCGAGGGTCGGGGCCAGGTGCCTTCGAAGTTGGTGATGGCGGAGAGACTGGCCGGGCGCAGCCAGAAGCGGGCGACGGGCTCGATTCTTAAAGAATCGGATGAGGTGGGGATCGAGTTCGGGTTTCTAAGAGCTCGCGGAGGGGCAAGGGGATTGCAGGAGGCGAACCTGGGCAGGCAGGCGCGAGAGGTGCATGCAGAAAGGCAACGGGCAGTAGTAGTAGGGAGGTCGGGCAGCCAGGGTGGAAGAGAAGGAGCCTGGATGCGATCTCGCGCCAGGTACGTGCGGAAGTGAGAATGGAGAGGAGTGCTCGAACCCACCTTATTCTTGACCGAATCGAGTCATGAAAGAAGTGAGGTGGGGGTGTTGGAAGAAGGCGAACATGATTTCGAAGCCGGAAATTGCAAAGGGTTAGTAAAAAGGTAGGTGGTAGAGAAAGTTAGCTCGTCGAGCTATGGCGGGGAGAGGGAGAAGCGGATGCATGATTGTTCGTTTCTGAGCGGAAAACGAGCGAGGGAGGACTCGTCTCAGGGGTTTTTGGCTGAGGCGACCTCGAATCCTGGGTTAGAGCGGGTAGGAAGTTAGTAGTAAGAAAGTTAGAGTGGAAAGGACATGCGCCGAGACATGGCGGGAAGAAGATGAGGGAAGAGAAGATGTCGAGTTCACCCTCCTTTCGACAGAAATGGGCGAGGGAAGGTTTGTTTCGGGGGTTCTGGGTAGCCGCGAGTTAGATGGTGGAGTCGGATTTGTAAGAGAGTTAGTACAGTAAGAGTGGTGGAGAGTAGTAGCTGCGTCCAGGGGTGGGTTAGTGAGGCGTTGATGCACCTAGCCATAGTTCGTGGAAAGATTCAGTTTGACTTTGGTTTTTATATTGAGAAAGAGGCGTGGGGCCGGCCCCGCTGTGCTCAGAGAGAGAGAGAGAGAGAGAGAGAGAGAGAGAAAGAGAGAGAGAAAGAGAGAGAGAGAGAGAGAGAGAGAGAGAGAGAGAGAGAGAGAGAGAG